TGTCCTTGTTTATCAGGCTCAATGGTTTCCTCATGCACGCCAAGGTCTAAACCAATATGACTTCTCTAATATACAAAATATATTAAAGCATTAAAATTAAAATTAAAATCTGCAAATTTTATACTCTTACCTTACTAATCCTACTCGACTTACTACTAACAATCGAAAAGTTTCCTCTGCCAACACTACTGATAGCAAACTCTTTCCCACTTAGAATGTGATGCAGCAAGTTCTTCATCTCGAATGGGCTAAGGTTGAGCAAATGCTCCGATGCATCCTCCCCATCGCAAACAAGAGTCCTCGACAGTTCGGTTGCCATCACCTGAATAATCAACCCAACGCGTAACCGCAACATTTCCCTGAACAATTGAGGCTCAGTACGGATGAACATAGCGAGATAAACCAACAATTCGTGGGTCAACATTGCGGTCGAGTCATCTTCGCCATAAGCTTCACGGATTAAAGAGCGCAGTTCACTTTCCGGCAACGGGGCACTAATAGTATGTTCGTTATTAGGCGGCATACCAACGGTGATTTGTTTTTGACGCACGAGTAAATCAGTGACGGCTTTTGCTAAATCCTCAACTCGTTTTCCCAACATTCCTGCAAATATTAATCATAATTCAACATTTTCAAGTTTATGCAGATTATTTACCTGCTGTATGTCGTACAAGTCCCCATAACTTTTGTTGGCAAGCTTTTTCATACAACCCTTTGAGCAAATCCCTTAAAGTAACAACTTTACCATATTCCAACATGCCTGTATTGTGGTCTAATCCTTTCTGATCGACTAAATATTGCAAAATATCGCCCTGTTCGTCCAAAGACTCTGACTCACGTAACATGGCGAATAATTCATCAACCTCTGTTTCGGCATACTGCGTCTCCGAAGGACTTCTGTGTCTACCAATGACAATATTAGGCACATCTGGTCTTAACAGTTTGGGGCGCACATTAATGGGTGATGGGGATCTGGCTCGCGAATCTATTTGATCTGTACCCAAAGCTGATCTATCTGCACCTACTGTAAGACTCCCAGCTATACAAATATCAAACAAAATAATTTTCATTACAAATCATGTTTATAATAACTTACATTCCATAACATTTATTGATCTGGTGCGTTTTATAAGTCCCTTCACCGACATTTTGCGTTTTAAATGCCTTCCACGACGACTTGGATTCGTTACCAAGAGAAGGGACGTTTTATTAGAGAAGCATTTCATAAGATGTTCCTCTAAATATTCGCCTACACGCGGATTTAACTCTACAATCAATTTTAATACAAATAATGTCAAAAACTAACTTAAACTACTTACTATCAGGCAAACCGTCTTCATGACACCCCAGAAAACTCAAATTTGTAACACAACTTGTACTTAAAAAGTCGTTCAGGTTACCCAAAGTCACTCTGGTACCATTGATGTATCCAGATTTTAATTTTTTCATTGTTGTTATCAACGCTAAAGGTATTTTACCCTGATCTAAACAACAGAAGTATATTTAATGTAAACATTAAAGAAATACACACAAATAAACATGCAATAATTAATAAATAACAAATGAGAGAATTGTTTGAAGAAATGAGTGTGGATTACCCGAGTTATCCATTGTGATGACAACGGTAATGGTAGGACGACCGAGCATGTTACGCCAATTGTTTTTCAAGAACGAAAGATTCGTGGTGAACTTGTCGATGAGCAAATCAGGATCGAAGTTCGTGTAATGCTCGCCCATGTCAAATTTCTGCATGCAATAACACCACAACATTTAATTTTTGTTTCCAAAACGTCT